TTTTTTTTTTTTTCTTTTTTTTTCTTAAACCAAATGTTACAATTGAAGGGAAAAAACAGGAGAAATCACTCAGGATGATATCCACGTTGAATTTCGAAATTACACAGAAGAAGAATCATACGAATAATCCAAATTATATTTCAGTCCAAATTTCATTTTTTATACATATAGGACTTGGAACTGTACACGTACGATAAAATACGTGTTTCTCTCTTTCAGTTCTTAGTCGAAATTAATACTTTCACGAGATACATAAGATATCTTTATTTTTTTTCGCGATTCTTAAGATAGTTTCTATCCGAATTTCGAATTTAAATATAAATATTTTCTATGTCCTGAGATGGAATACTTTTTTTTTTTTAAACTTTGAAATCATGTTCCTTTTTATTTTCTTTAGCGAAAACAATGACATATAGATGAAAACAAATATTTTTAACAAAGTAATATTTATCTCGTGAAATAATCGTTACAATTAATTGAAGTATGTGTTCTGATGGTACATATTTGTCACTATGATAAAAAATATCGATTAATGCAAATTTCTCAACGACTAACGAATGCCAATGTTCGAATAAAAATACGAAAGGTTTTCGAATGAAATACGAAAAATTTTTATGAATAAATTATTAATATTGAAAAAGTTAAAAAAAAATGACCACGTATCTATTAAATAACTAACGAAACTTTTTAATAATGTAATATATTGTTGTGTATAAATAAAAAATATTTACAAATTTAACTCTCAAACTTTTGTCTTTTTAAAAAGATTTATTTATATAGTACAAAGTACAACTTGAATATAACACAATTAGTTATAACACAGTTCGTTTAGTATAATCATACAAAATGTGTTTATTCATTAACATTAGTATACATTATTTCGTATGAGTTATAAAATTCCAAATCTACAATTAATCACATTTCAATTTATTGTTTCTTATTAAAAAGTAATAGCAAATTTCAAATTTAAAAAATCATCATTAAGTTATTTAAATTCTGATTTGTTCTTTATCAAACAATTACTTATAATAATTTAAAAGAATTAATTTTTAAAAGTTTCTAAAAAAGTAATTATTAATATTTTTGATTTATTAAATAACAATCTTTCCTGAGTTTTCTTACTTTTGGGATCCAAACGTAATGTAATCATTTCAAATACTATTTTTTTTTCTAAATAAATCATTAATAAAACTACAAAATTAAAATTTAGAAAATTATATTTAAATAATAGTTTGTCATAATAAATAACGTGCATAATACAATTGTGTACGTCGTTTCTTAAACCAATATTTTTATTTTGAATCAAATCTATTTCTATGACATTATTCGACTATGTATTATATTGCTAATTTGAATTTTATATATACAGGTTCTTTTAATATTCGACTAGATAATATTAATTAAATAAATTGTAGAAAAATAGAACAACAATTATGTAAATCTCTTATTTAACACTCAAATATATAGCCTCTAAAAGATACAGAATATAGCTTTAATTTTTTAATGTGGAAACCTAGCTTTGTGACTATAGTATTATGCACGTACTATACAATTAAAATAGTAAATTTATACTAGAGAAAAGCCTTGAGTTTGTTGGATTGCTTGTAGTAATTTATATCGTAATCTTTCTCGCGTTTGATATCGTGGTAAATCAAGCAAATTAAAACATGTATGAGCAACAGGTAATAAACGTTCATCATTCACTGGTTGTATTGTAATCTAAAATAAAAAGATATTAAAATATTATAAAATTTCAATTAATTAAAATAATAAAATAGAAATAAAAGCTATACTATAAGTTGAATAGAGGCTATACTACAATATTGTCAAATATAGAATTTGAATGATCTACCTTAATCGCTTTCATGCCTTGTATAGGTATCCTATCACTTCCTGTCAAAAATAATAAAAATTTTTTCTTGTCTTCTAATGTAAGTTCGCGAAACACTTGCCAAAATAACACAATAGTAGCGTCATCTCTTGTATATCCATTTTTATAAACTGTATTCTTTTGTAATTCTTCCCAATCGTAATCTTCATTTCCTACTACTACGGCCATAAGTTCGTAACTGTGAAATAATTCCAATACACGACCACCGCAAACTCTGTGAAAACCTTTATGAAAAGCTTGAAAATGAGGATCTACAGATTTGTTTAATGTATAGTCTACATACAAATCAACAAATTGTTTCCTGTAAGAATAATTCTATTAAAATATGAAGCTTAAAATAGAAGTATAAAAGCGAAATTTAATATTTAAAATATATCTGCATACTTATTTTTCAATGTAACAGGAACTTTAGTACCATTTGGTATAAGTTCATATATTTTTTTTTCGCCAAACACTTCTCTAACCACTTCAAAATGTAAACCAAAAACTTCTTCAAAATCTGCTTCTTCATAATCAAGTATATTTTGCATACTCCTGTGATTATTAAACATTGTATATCATTGTATATCATTATTGTAGTATACCTATCTAGAAAGTATATATATGACATTACTTACTTGGCAAATATTGGTGACATATCTTTGATATCATTTAAACCAACTGGTTCGTGTAACAATTTTTTATATAGAACTAACGAGAATGGTAAGTCAATAATAATAAAATTATAAATAACTAAACCACAAAGAATTCCAATTAAAAAATACATATTTTCATCTTCGAAAGAATCTTCACTGAACCAGATAACTCTAGTTTCTTCATATTGTTTAAACATACCATATTTAGGGTCTAGAATTTCTCTTAATAATAGCATAAAAAATTCCTTTTTAACTCCACCTGCATCTTCTGCTTCTTCACCGTGAAATTTTACCTTTATAAAATAACTTCATCAATTACCTTTTATAAATAAAATATTTAAAATCCAGTTATAATACTCACTCGAAGAGGCTTTTTTAAATCACTAGAATCGTATTGTGCCAATTCCCGTAAAGTATCAGCAACTATGTTTTCCCGTGAAACGTTTAATATTACAAACTGAGTATGATGTCGTGCGTCTATAGAAAATGGATCAAAAAATATTTGATGGATAATGGATGCACGGGTTGCTGCCTCGTTCATTGCTGATTGCATCTAACATGACATATATGTAATATAAAAAATATAAAATCATATTTACAGTACAAGTTTATATTTTACCTGGATAGCTTGGTCTGTTTCGAGCAGTATAATTTTAGCATTTGCGTCAAGGAGAAACGGATAATTACAGAACACTTTTTGATACTGAAAAAAGGTTTAATTATATAAACAAAACTCTATAGATATTCAATTAATAAGTTTTTGATAACTTAAGAAGTTTAATAAATCAAACAGTTATATACATAACGTACTGAAAACGATTCTTTTTCTGAAATCCATTTTATGTAATCGGCCCTTATATCTATAAGTTCTATTAATTCTGGCAAATGAAATGTAGAATAAGGTACTTTATGCCCTTCATCGCCTTCATTGTTCAATTTATTTAGCAAGTGTAAAGAATCTAAGGCAACTTGCAATGTCACATCCCATAATATACCCTATATAAAAATATTCAAATTTTAAGTCAACAACATTTTAAGCGTCTTATTAATTTTTTTAAATGAAAAAGTAATTCGTAAATATTACCTTATTCGGCCTAGATTGTTTTACATAATGTAGAACAACTGATTTATGAACTCTAACTAATCTCTCAAAATAATAAGGTGGTGCTTTAAGCCACCAATTTGTAACAATTTCAAGAACCTCTGATTTTAATGCTAAAACAGCTTTGCAGAATGGCTTATGTAATAAATTACAATTAAGTGGATTTACAAAACCGTGATACAAAGGTAATATTAAATAGACTCTTAAAGATTCCGGACAAATTGTTTTAGACGGTAGATTGACAAGGGAAGGAATCAAGCTGTCTGATATGCAAGTAAATATCTAAAGAAAGAATAATAAATTTGTTGTAATTTTAAGTATGATGATATTTAAAGTTCATAAAATTTATTTTTCCTATATACCAGTTCTTGAATTGTGCTGTTATCCAATTCTCTAATAATTCCGAACAATTTACTTGCTTGATCAATATCCACCCCATGATGCTTATTTGAACATCCATAACGAGCATCATTTTTAAGTAAAAACGATCCAGTTACACAGGATAGACTTTTAAATACCGTTTCTAAATATCTATAAGTACATTAATTCACAAAATTGTATAAATTGTATAAATAAATGTACTAATTATATATAAAGGAAGCAAAATGATTGTTTTATTATCACTTGAAAAAAGAATGATTGTCTTTTAAATAGACAATAAAAAAATTTGTTATATTCATCTATAACAGCCTTAAGTACTAACTTTCTTACTCACGTCATAAGTTCATGATCAACAGGTGAATTTGCAGGTACTCGTTGACATGCCATTAGTTGTTTTTCGGTTATTGTAAGAATTTGAGAGGAGTTTTCTATTATTCTACAGTCATCTGGTTTTATATTATCCTGAAAACAATTAAATCTATTTCTTCTATTTTTCTGCCGAAACATTTAATCATTGTCACTTGAAAAAAATGCTTACATTTTGTGGAACTACTGTAGCGAAACAGTGATCTCCACCAGTAAAAATATGTTTAACCACATAGCCAATTGTACAAGAACTATGTTCTTTATCAAGATCCATTATTGAAGAGCCATTTGGTGCAATCCATGGACCATGTACTACTTGTGGAGTTGTTATGCTTCGAGTAGAATGATTACCTAACTGACCTGCACCACCCAAACCCCATGCATAAACTCTACCTCGTGAAGGTACCAATGCCAAAGTATGTCTTTTGCCACATGAGATCTTAAAATGAAATATTTAATATAACATACACGTTAACGAACAAATGATGTGTCAAATTGTATTTTGTGCAATACCTGTGTAACTGTGCTACCCATAAGTTCCATAACTTGACGAGGTAAAATCTCATTACTATTACTTCCATGACCTAACTGACCATACATTCCTGCACCACATGTAAACACTCCTCCATCCTAATATAAGTTTTATATAATATTATTGATAAAACAATTTGATGTATACGTAAGAATACTTACAACTGTTAAAAATGCAGAAAATTCTTCTCCACAAGCTGCATAACATATCTTTGCATTTTGTAATGTTTGCAGTTGGCATGGTAAATTTCTATCTTGAGTATCATTTAATCCCAATTGGCCAAATGTATTTTTTCCCCATCCAAATACAGCTCCTATGGAAAAATTTAATTATTTCTCTAATAACAAAAATGATTTTTTATATATTTTTTTTACAGTACCTGACTTTGATACAGCTATGGTATGATATCCTCCACAAGCAATAAAGATAATAGGGATACCAATTAAACTACTGATAAGTTTAGGTTTTATTTCGTATTTATTATCAACACCTAAACCAAGTTGTCCTTCACTATTAGAACCCCAACTATATAATTCTCCATTATTTGTTAATGCAAGTGCATGTTTCATTCCACAAGCTATTTGTATTACTATACTTGTACCTAATGTTTTTACCATACGTGGTGAACATTCCATAAAATTTCTCAAATTCAAACCTGTAATAAAGTTAGAATATAAATCCTTAAAAAAAAAATTAGGAATTTTATAATGTTTATAACTATAAATATCATTACCTAATTGACCTTCTGTATTAGATCCCCAACTAAACAATTGACCCCATTCATTTACTGCTAAAGTATGGTATGCTCCACAAGCTGCTTTTTTAAATACAAATGCATCTATTCCAGATATCAATTCTAAATATAAAATTAAATATTTAATCCAACTTTGATCCAAACTTAATTTTCTGATTCATTAATTATTATTTATTAATATACTTACGAAATCTTTTTGTCCCTTGTTCATGACCAAGTTGTCCGTAGTCATTATTTCCACATGAATATATTTCACCATCTTGAGTAATAATTACTGTATAATTTTCACCACAAGCAACTGTGAAAAAATTTTTTTAGAGACATAAACAGTTATAAATAAAATCATAAATAAAATAAATAAAAATCTAATATATAATTTTATAATTTTATAAATAAACTCACTTTGCTGAATTTTTAAAGCTTTTTTAAAATCAACTTCACGAGGAACTAAAATGTTTTCATCCTCAATACCACCTAAACCTAGTTCACCATGAATGGTACTACCCCAACAAAACATATTTTTAGGTAAAGATATTTCCACTGCTACAACAGGCTCACAGGCCAAACGTCGTTTTTTATTCCAGTTTGCCTGTACAAATAATAACGTATAATAATAATTTTCTACTCACACAATATCTATATTTCTATATAATATAAAATAATAAGACATAATAAAACATTTAATTATATATTTAAAAATAAGTGTAATAAAATCATTTAATTATTATTTTACGTTTTTTAGTGAAGTAATTTTCTTATACTACAATTGTTAAAATTTTATAACAATATATTAAAAATTATGCACAGCAGATACAACCAATAAGTAAATTAAAACTAAATGAATATATAATTGTGATTTATACCTAATATAAGATAAGAATTAAATTATTTATACAATGCATGATATGGTTTAATTTATTTTGTTTGATTACACAATAAGTGTAATGATTATAAAAAAAATGATTAAAATTTAATTTGTCAGATTTTAAATAAATGATATGCATGCTTATGTATACATACTTTTATACCATTATACAGTGAAGTAGTAAAAATAGTAATTAATATTTATGATAACTTTTGGATAGGTATCAATAACTAACCATATTTTTCTATTTCTCTCATATTGAAAGCATCAGAAGTGTGGATGAGATATCCTATTTATGAAAAACTTGTGGTGTGTCCTAAAAATAATATTTTTTATAATTCTCTTATATTTAAAACTTTGGAATATAATATTAATAACAAAAATAAGAATATTTCAATAGAAAATAAGTTAAATGTTGTACTATAAAGAAAAGCATAAAATCGAATTATACATAAAATTCAATTACAGCAAATATTATCGATCTACGATTTGCACGGAAATTTAAAAAAAAAATTCAAATTAGGTTGAAGATGACAGTGCAAATATTATTACGTTAAATACAACGTCATGTTATAAATTTTTATTGTACCTGTTTGTCCTGTCACAAGTGGAATTTTATCAATTTAGGTTAAGAGAAACGGGAGAAATTTGGTAGTTTATGATAATATTTAATGAATCGAAAAGTAACAAATTAAGAATGAAAGAATGGAGCAGAAGAAACTGAAATGCAGCAAATTTCACTTGTATGTTTTGATAAGAATTTATATTTGTAGCAAAATACACATCTTTACCATAATTTTACTATTACTTACATTTTTTTTGAATAAAATGTATTTGCATACTTAAATGTCTAGCAGAGAAAAAAACCAAAATTTTAAAGTACAACTACAATATACTTGATAAATAAAACTTTTTCTTATTACGAACATTCATTACCGTAAGATCACAATCTTAAGAATCACAAAACTTAATGTATATATAGTGTCATAAAACATTAAATCTATGAAATAGTAACGAAATTTAGTAGAAAAATATCTGTTCGATATATAATAATAAAGAATGATTAATGCAAATTATTACAAATTATTATACAATTTCTCAGCACATGATGGATTTTATAACATTTTAATTTAATTTTACAGATTAAGAATGTTCTCACTAGTAAATTTTTAGTAAAAAAAAAAAGTTTAAAATATCAAAATTACAATACATTTGACTTAAATTAGTAATTTAATAAAAATATATATGTATATAGATGATTATCACACATAAAAAATTGTCAAAAAATTTAGAAGAAAGATTTAATATATTCGCTAACTGTATCTTTAAATCTCAAATTATTATTTCATAGTGAACTATTTCATCTATCTTGCGCACATAGTTCATGATTTATCCCTTCTCTTGAGGAAAATTGAGCGAGCGGGTGGGCAAGCGGCAGCCATATTATCAGTGAGGTGTCAGTATTGTCTGAACGTGACGGGATTTTTGGGTGTGGATCATACAATTTCCTGTCGTTTTCTGTAGCAAGTACAGTGCAAGTGCTAGTGCCACCGGTCTACTGTGAATGTGTGGCACATGTGTCATAGAATTTATATCTTATAAATACAGTAAGTTCTACATATTGAATTGGAACTCAGTATTCAGCAGTTACAAATTTTATATAAATCTTAGAACAAATTATATAGTTTTTCAAGTCTCTTCGAAATATCACTCGTTACAATATAGAATTAGACATTTTTATAACGATATATATGTTTACTTTCTTATTCTTTGCTTGAGAACTTAGTTGCTTACTAACCTACATACAGGTTATTTCTTTATGTTATAGTCATCTCATAGTCAACACTCCTGTACAATTTCTAATTCGTTTTTCTTTTGACTGACATTTTGATTTTACGTGTTATATTTGTATAATAGTTTTATAAACATATTTGCTTATAATTTGATTCATTGAAGGTGACATGTATTCCAACCTTTTTTTCGTGAAGGACGATGCAGTAAACATATGAATGAAAATAAAGTTTCTGTAAATGTACATAAGTAATGAATCATAAAATAAAATGTTAAGATGATTTAATGTTACAAGTATCTCGTATAGTATAGTTGTAATGTGAAATGTGCAGTCTTTCGTGTGAAGTGTTTAGCAATCGTTTTTTCCTTTAAAGCAAAACGAGACGACAGAAACAGGATACGAGCTTATATTTCTGTTAGTCCTACGCATTTCTAGTCAACCTCAGCAATTAGCTTATAATATTTCACGCTATATACTAGTGTATATAACAAGTCTTCGTTTTTTCTCGTAATTATTTGTTTCTTTAGCCAATCGTATTTCGATAATCAATATATTCGAAATATTATATGTTATACAATATTTTGATTATATATTATATATTAATTATTATATGATTATATATTATATATTATGATTATATATATATTATGATTATATATTATATATTAAAATATTTTATTGAATTTTACGTAAATAGTAAAGCACCTATTGTACTTTAGGTAAAAATATATGGATACATTACTATTAAAATGCCATATATTTCAATGAACGACTTCGAAAGAGATTTCAAAATACAAATTCTTTTTTATCACAGCGTTCCTTCATTCATTATGTGGAAATTTCTGTACATGCATATTACGATTCTTTTTTCAAACTTGTTTTCTTCTCTTAATTCATCTCAGATCTAAAACATGCCGTGCATATATTTGAGAATTTTTTCGCGAAATCATGCTGGTGATAGAAATAAAAATTTTGAATTCATACAGCAAAATATATGCTTTAACCATTTACGTAAACACAGAGATTTTGTGACGAGTATTTCGGACTTCGGACGCAGTAGTTGGAAATGGAGACTTTATTAATAGATATGTACTTTCTATCTCCATGCTACGTGAAAAGTTGGACGGATACGTCGCGCGGAGTGTTTTTTTTTTACCGGTATTGACAAAAAGTTCGGGAGATACCAATGGTTCAACGGACGTAGTGGTCCTAGATAAAAGGGGAATGCTAGACACAGTGCGCAGGCACTCCTTGCTGCGAGCGGATGTCGGTCACGCGGATTTACATTATAACCTGTCTCTTCTTCCAATATGGAGACTTGTATGCAGTTCTCGACTGTGAACGTGCTACTTTTTTTTTAATGATGATTTTGCAGTAATTTTAAATTGATTCGTCATTAGAGGATAATATTAATTAGTAATGAATCATTTTTTATTATCACTAATTATCATTAACGTTGTTAAATATCTCTTACATACTTTTATGTACTTTTCAAATATATTTTATAGAATTGTAAAGAATATTATAACATATTATTATAAAAATATTAATTCGTTGTTTGTTTTATAACAAATCTTGAAAATAGATTGAAGAAATAGTAATATTTACAAATACACTTTCTAAATATAATATTTTTAAATAGTTAATATTATTTATTAGTACATCTATAAGTTTTATTAATTATAGTTTATTTTTGTTATAGATTGATATTTTCGTTGTTTGACACGGAAAGATACAGAAAAGCAAAATGCCGAAAACGGTAGGTATATTTAATAAAAAAAAAGTTTTCTAAAACTTAGTTTTAATTTTGTATAATCTAATGCAGTATAATCTTATAAATCTATACAATAAAAAGGACATTATTAAAAGCAGAGATTTTATACTTTTTGTACGTACCTTTTAAATTGCGGTGACTGGTATTTCGAGATATTCATTGTGGTATTTTCAAACGAAGAAACGATTAATTTTCACTATTCAACAAGTTATATCTATATAATTGTTTTAAGAGAAGAAACAATTGAAACACAATATAATTAACATACTAGCTACACAAAAGTTCCTTACATTTGATGTTTTACAATTTTGAAGATGACCGATCATGTCGGTAAATGTAGTAAACCGTTCCCGGTATTACTTCCTTCTGTACACCCGGTATTTTAACTGAACGCTGATTGGCTACGGCTATACGCACCGGCTTCCTCACGTGATCACTTTCGTTCTTCTCTTTCGCTCTTATGAACGTTCGCTATGATTCGGAAAGAGACAGAAAACGATGCATTGCTTGTAAAGAAGCGGAGTGGGGAGGACAAAAGACGCTACGGGCTGCACTTGCCCCTTAGCCCATTGTATGACTTGAAACCGGCATAAGTCGACAGACAGGCGGTTAAATCTTATGTTATCGAGTGTTCGTCCGTTTCGACCAGTACATCTTCAAATTTCCAGTGTCCCGCTCAGATTGGTCCGCAATACTTAGCTACCTAATCAATTTACGTTTTAACGATTTATATATCGATCTCATTTGAATTTACGATTACGTTTTCGTACCATCGCAGCTATGGTTGCCGGTAATAAAATGGTAAGCGTTTTTTCTGTTTCCTTGTAATTTCTCTTTGGCAATATCTGCGACGGAATATAGGTTAGAACTGTAACATTTGATACATTTACAAATTATTCCTCCTCTTTCGAGGAGGGAAAGAAATTACATACAAATGTATATGAAAAGGATTAGAAGTGGCGTCCTTCCGTCTACCGGGTGACGTTTGAATTTATCTCGATGAATTTCGTACGTTTGATTTTTGTTTCTTCTTTTTGTATGCAAAGATGAATGTCAGGGTGACGACGATGGACGCCGAACTGGAGTTCGCGATCCAGCAAACGACCACCGGGAAGCAACTGTTTGATCAAGTTGTGAAAACGATCGGGCTGCGTGAGGTGTGGTTTTTCGGACTCCAATATACAGACAATAAGGGCGACCTGACGTGGATAAAATTATACAAGAAGGTAGGATGACTGGTTGTTTATTGCACTATGTAATTCCTCTAATCGTACACGGTGGCTCTCTTTTGTATTTAAAATTGAGCTATACTTGCAAATATCAAAGAGCTTTCTGTAGTTGCTTCAGTGTGAAACACGCTCTGTATTTAATAACCGCCATATATTCACTGCTTTGTATAGGTAATAAATTAGTGATATATGGAGAATACCATTATAATTTAGAAATGGTAAATAATTGCTTTTACGAGTTAAATTTTCATAAGGGACGTGGAGCAAAATAGAATAATGTATAATTCAGCATTGATTATTCAATACGATAGTTCTATACAATTGTTCAACTATTTTCAGGAGTTAGAAATTAAAAAAAAAAAAATACTTATAATAATAAAATTATTTTAACGTAAAACTGAATTGTTTAGTTTGAGACGAGTGTCTGATATCAATTGAATTCAGTCATTTGTCTGATCTACATAAAAAAGTGAGTTAGGGAGAGATGTGACGGCGGATGCTGATGTCATCGACTTTCGTAGATTTGCTACGTTCGAACGCAAGTTGAACTTTACGCTCGATCCTCATCATTCAAACGATGTCCGTGAAAAAAAAATTTCTATTATGTGCATAATTCTCTCATATGTTACGGTAATAGAGTAAGATGATCAAAACAACAAACTAATATTAGTTAATCAAAAATATATACGCTTCTTATATATTTCTTCAGATGAAAATGATGGCACAATTCTTTCACGATTTACATTTTAATCATTAAAACAATGAGGAATGATCTTTTCGATCATTTTTTCCAAAG